GCACATCTGCGTCCACTCTGCTCAGGTACAAGTTTAGCCTGCTGCAGTAGCCAGAGTGCTGTCGTTCACCCCGGTGGACGAGCGTCTAGCCACAATCCGCATCAAAACGAGGTTCTTCAACATCAGCGTTTGGAGCGCATATACGAGCGCTGCTCGCGCCATGAATCAAAATCGTGCTTGGCCACTGTTGGAAAATTCAGCCTACACGACGAAACGTCCAACGGACTGAGGCTGATCGACTTCTTCGGGCCCGAAACATGGTAGTATGCAGGCTATATCCGGAACGAAAAACGAGAAACCAAATCCAGTGTTTTAGACATACGTGCACTCCAAGGCCCAAACATCGACTCGGACTACACCTTGTTTCAACCAAGATACGCACCCGCCTCTGTGCAGCAAAAAATATTCAAGGCAAGGTTAACGTCGAAAAGCTGCAGTCACAGTTACTCTACTGAATGGCAGCAGCACGCGAAGTTGTAGAAAGGACGAGCCTGAGGCCCCAGTCGATGTAATTAATAATAATAATAATAGATTGGCGCTTACACATATGTTAGTGTTTGGCCGAGCTTCTCCTCCGACTTGTGGCGTGCGCCTTGATGTTGTCACACAAAGCGGAGGGACCTACAGTTTTACGCCGACTCCGAACGACGATTGTATTTTTATGAGAAGCTGTTTTTTCATGGCAGAAATACACTCGGAGGTTTGCCATTGCCTGCCGAGTCGATGTAATTACGCGGTTTAAAAACAACAAAAGCTTATGGAGCTGATAGCCTGCCAGCTGAGCTATTCAAGCACGGCGGCGAGGAGCTAATAAGGCGCTTGCATCAACTCTTATGCACAGTATGGTCAGATGAAAGTATACCCGACGATTGGAATTTAAGGGTGTTCTGCTCAACCCACAAGACAGGCGGGATCAGCCTTCTAAGCATAGGTTACAAGGTCTTATCGAGCGTATTGTGTGAAAGACACCCACCATCAACGAACTGATCAGGCTTTATCTGTGTGGTTTTAGACCTGGCAAATCCACCATGGGCCA